AAATACAGATATTTACTAGTCCAGATACACAGAAAGCATTCAGATGTGATTCATTTGGGATAAGAAAGATTGGTTTACTTTAAAAATGGTAGTTTAAAGTTATGACACAATTCAACAACAAAATATAGGACAGCTAAAAGGATTTTCAACTTTTTCTGCATAAAACTTAGTCAACCAAACATCTTTTATTTTACACAAATTGTGGTGTTGACAACTTTAAAATATAATAAGCCTCTTCTTTTTCTTTTTTTTTTTTAGGTGCTTTTCTGGCCCTGTAAAATCCTACTCCATTTTATAGGTGAAACTACTGTAGGTACTTCCTAGATCTAAATTTAAATAAATTTTAAAAGCCAAACATTGCAATTATCTTGATAGTTACTTGCATTTCTAAATTGAGTCTGAGATGGATTGGTTTCTCTACTTGTCCCCAGCTGGCAAAAAGCATCAAATATTTCTCACATTGCAAGTCATCCCATATTCCAAAACAAAGTGTACTGCACTGCATTTTAAAAAAAACAACTGCAAAAGATTATCATTGCCATAATTTAACTTCAGTGAACCCATTGAAAAGCACTTAAGGCTACCCATAAATGACCACCATTTTTATTTATATGGTTCTGAATATGTGGATGAATCACTTCAGCCTGCATTATTAATACTATAATAATGAAGGAACACTGTGGACCAGATGGTGCAATGTATCATAAGGACACGTCATTATTCTTTGGAAACACGCACATGTAAGTTCACACACAAGTTCTTATACTCAAATCCCAGTTTGGCTGCTGCTTTGTCAACGTTTCTGAATAAAGCAATGCTGTTGCTGCCTCCTTGCCTGCAGAAGAATTTTCAGTGTGACCTGCTGAAACTTCCTTGGTTAGGTTACACCTCTCAGGAACTGTTTTCAAGAGGGTGTTTCAGGATTTTAGTGCCTACTTTCTGCTGAAACTCTCTGCAGACACCTGAAATCTCATATAAATTTGCCTATAAAGCACAGGTAAATTCTGAAGCAAAATATGTAAGCTAAACAAAAGAATCATTAACTGGTTTCTATTCTTCCCTTAACTTAAAGCTCATTATTTTTCTCATCAATGCTTGTCCTAATTAAAGGGAGGGGACCTTCTCCCTTAAGCAAGCGAAAGAGACCATGAAAATGACTTGGCAGCCTGAATCCCACCTTGGCAGAGCAGAGGACATGGGCAGCGCTCCCCTCACCTCCCACAGGAAATCTGTCAGGCAGGCACCTTCATAGCATACTTTCTAACATGCACAGGCAGGCTTGACATCCAATGCTAAAGAGAACTCAAAACGCTTCTGGAGAGGCCAAAGAACATCAGCCTTTTAGCTGCTAATTTAGTGATGAAAACACATGCACAGGACCAGAGAGACCAGGGTTCAGTCTCCTTCTCCTCCAAACTTCACAGGAAGCAACCTTCAGACGGAAAATAGAAGAACGCTTTTTCTCCCTACGTTTTCCTGACCAGTAGATAACAAAATCCTAATCTATTTTTGATCCAATAAGTATCAAAATCCTCTCTTTGGGGAAACTAAGCGCAACTGGTATAACATGAAAGCTGGAACCACAGTCACATCACATAACTAATAATACTGAGATTTTGGAAGAAAGAGATGAGTGAGTTTTTAGTAGATGAGGTAGAGAAGGGGCCTGAAACCAATCTCTACCTTCTGCCATGGTTGCTTCATTTCAATAGAAGACAAACAAGAGAATAAAAACTGTTTGCTGTGTATGGATAGGAAGGTGTAATATGTCTTCCAATAACCATGTTTAAAAAAAAAAAACACAAATCATTCTCAATTCTTAAGAAAAAACCAATTTTTCCCATAAGTGAGGTTACTGGCAGTGAGTTCAAGCTGACAGAGCCCTGCAACATGACAAGCAAAACCATGGCTAAGGTTTACTCATGTATCCTATTTGCCTCAGATGTCAGATATAAGCATTTCTTTGCCTCAGAGGCCAGCTGGCTATCCCCTCAGGCAATGGTGTTTTGGATTGCATTCAGTCCTAACACTTCCTGGGAATCAAATAAAGCCTAAATGTCTACCCCAGGACTCTGGGTTCCTCTGCAAAGGCGAGTACTTAAAAGTTTGATGTGCCGCCTAAGCTTTTAATTGGATGCAACCCTATAATTTCTTCCATAATAGGATGACCCAGCAGGATCACTTACAGCAGAGCATGAAAGCAAATGCCAAAGAAGTGAAAATG